GGTGAGTGGAGCGGGAGCTGCCGGTGAGCGGGAATAGCGGAGCAGAACCGCGGCTAGCGCCCCGAGGAGGCACAGTGAGGAGAGGAAAGGGGTCCACGAGCTCTGTGGCGGGTTGGAGGATGCGCCCTCGGGAATGGCTTGGCAGCGCTTTGGGGAAGAGGCGGGGCGCGGCGCGTGGGAGCGGCGGCGCGTGGAGGGGCGGAGCGGAACGGAGCGCGCTGGGGCGGAGCTGCTGGGACAGACGCGGCGTGGACCTCGCTGGGCAGCCCGAGCCGGAGTGCGGCGCTGTGTGTCAACGCCGTCACTCTGTGACTAGCCCGTGAAGGACGGGTGGAGCAGACAGACACTTCCTTTGCTTGTTACATCTCAAGTGGTGTTCCAGACTGGGTCAGTGCCTTCGTTGTCCAGCCAAGGTCACAGAGGGAGCGACAGCTTCAGGGCGGGCCCTGGCTACCGACTCTGGGAATCTTCCCGCTGCCCCGCGGGCGCCCCCTGTTGGAGCAGAGTAGTACTTTATCTGGGGCAGTACCCAAACTGAGGTCTCGCTTGAAGTAGCTGACTTCTCTTCTTAGTAGTAAAGATACACCCGGCCTCAGCTGGTGGTTTATTATTATATGTATATTTTTTTAAGTTTCGGTATAGGGCGTGTTTACTCGCTGGAGAGAGAGAAAATGAGAAATTACCCCCCAGAAGGGATGGCCACACCACAATCCCTTCTCACTTCATTCTCCTCTCAGGATTTTGGGCACACACACACACCGTGATTTTAAAGTTGGCGGGTTCAGGATTCAAACTATGCAGGTGCAGTCAGCCATGTGGGATCCAGCTACCTTAATGCCTATGTCATCTGCTGGCCCCAGCCTTCAGTTTTTATACCTGTGAAATGAGAGGGATGGAGTAAGCCATCATAATGGTTGGCCTAGCTGCTTAATAGGAGTTGCCAGAGAGCCCTTGGAAGTTTTGGGTGTTCAGCTCTAACCTAATTTTTCTTGGGATTCCCAGATTAAGTCTGATCAAGATGACAACCTCCCAAAAGCACCGAGACTTCGTGGCAGAGCCCATGGGGGAAAAGCCAGTGGGGAGCCTGGCCGGGATTGGTGAAGTCCTGGGCAAGAAGCTGGAGGAGAGGGGCTTTGACAAGGTGTGGAGTGGCTGCATGTGGTGGTGGGGGGATTGGGATTGAAGACTACAATGTAATTTTCTAGCAGATTGAGAATGAGGAAAAGTGAGTATATTGGTGGTGTACAGTGGTGTGTAATCTGGAGATGGCCAGAGTTTGGCCACCTGGTTGAGATGAGGTGGGGGCAAAGCTGCCTGTGCCTCCTGGGCTTGTGTGCTTTGAGTGCTGCAAAAGTGACCGTTTTGCTTAGTCCTCACAGAGTGTGTAGCTTTGTGCCCTTTACTTTGTTTTGCAGGCCTATGTGGTCCTTGGCCAGTTTCTGGTGCTAAAGAAAGATGAAGACCTCTTCCGGGAATGGCTGAAGGACACATGTGGCGCCAATGCCAAGCAGTCCCGGGATTGCTTTGGGTGTCTTCGAGAGTGGTGTGATGCCTTCTTGTGATGCACTCTAGGGAATGCTAAATCCCCAGCCCCAGCATTGAATCTCCAGAGTTTGCAGCTGAGTGGGGACTCCCCCTGTCCTCTACAAAGGAAAAGATTGCTATTGTCATCCCCACCTTTGACGTACTGCAGGGTCTTTTGGGAATCTTATCCCATCACCATTGCAACTTTTTTGAAATCCTTGCTCTCGCATGCATCTCTCTTCCTTCTCCTTCCCCTGCCAGGTCCGTGGCGATAGTTACCAGCTTTCCTGAGTGGATTACTGATCCCTTCCCTCACCCTTCCCTTCCCTCATTTCTGGTCTGTTTGATGCCGTTCGGCTTCTTTTTTGATGAATCAGTCACTGTCCTTAAAAAGTTTTTTAGATCAATAAAATCAGTGGCCTTCATGAATGGGCTTTGTGTATTCACAAGCAAGTGGGCTAGGAGTTTCCTCTTCCTTGGGAACTGACCAGGTCTCCCACACTTCTTATCAGTGCAGACTGAAACTGGCAGCTTCCCTTCTTACTTCCAGAGTGCAGCTAGCCTAGCCACGAGGGCCTCAGGCAGGTACTTTAGAGTGTCTTAATTCCTGAGTAATGGAGGAGAGTGTAGGTTGATCTCTTCATTGGAACCAGATGGGCTGTGGTGGTTCAGTTGTCACTAAGTCAACAGCTGGGCTAGGCAGCACCTGGTGGAATAGTCAGTAGGAGTCAGAGGTACTAGGAAGAGGGTGGACCGGATATGGGTAAGAGTACACCTGCTAACCATCACATTGCTTTCCTAGCTTCTGGGATGAGTGGGCAGGACTCGTAGGGAAGGGGAAAGAGCATGAGCATCATAGCTGGGTGACCTTGAGGGAGTTATACTTCTATCAGTACACCTTAGTCCTGTTCTTCCTTGAATACTTAGTGTAAACCAAGCCTGAAACTTGATCTTTGCAAAATTTTTTTCTTCCACAGTAGTCACTTGTTTTCTGTTTTGCAGATGAGGAAACTTGAGACTCAGAGAGGCTAAGTAATTTGCCCTTGGACTTGCTGCTGGGAAATAATCAGACTGGAACTCAAAACAGTCATTTGGAAACCCTGTACCTGCAAACCTTGTGTACCTCAGCCTCTCTGTGCCTCAGTTTCCACACTTGGAAAATAAGGTTGTTATAGGGACCAAATGAAATGCTAGTTGTAAACCACCTTGCTTGGCATTGATTCTTTTAACAGAGCATCGTTGAGAAGCAACTTGCTTACAGTAAAAACAAAGCAGTGTTCCTAAGTTGTATTGTCTGGTGAAATGAGAGTGACAGAGTAAAACAAAAGCTAGGATAATATTAATAGAAGAGTTTCATGATCTCAGGGTAGCGGGAAATTGAGAGTTGACAGATTTGACTTTATTACTATTAGAAACTTCTGCTAATTTGAAGATAACATAAAGAGGGGGCCCAGCAGATGGCATAGTGGTTGGGGGCAGTGGCCTCCCACATGGCTGACTACAGTTTGAGTCCTGAATCCGGAGGCTTGATATTCGTGCTGGGCACATGTGCATATATACCCAAAATCTGGAGAGGAAAATGGAGGAGGGGGGATTGAGGTATGGCCATTGCCCGTGGGGGATAATTTCTCACTTTCTGTCTCCCTCTGCTTCTCCTGCGAACCTTTGTGCTCTATTTAAAAAAAAAAAAAAAAAGACCCAGAGTGGGAAGGTGAAAGAGCATGGGCATCATAGCTGGGTGAACTTGATAATTGCAACAATACAAACAACAAAGGTCTACTACTCAAAGCACATACTCAGCAGTCAAGTAAAAGGCAGACAACTGCAATAGATAACCCTAATAGTGAATAAGCTTGTGAAAAGGTGCTCAATTTCATTGTAACCAGAAATGTAAATGAAGTGCCACAGACACCCACAATACCAAGTGTTGATAAGAAAATGGAGCAACAGGAACAGATACTCAGCTGGTGGGAGTGTAAATTGGTATGAATACCTTGGGAAAACAGTTGGGTGTTATTTAGTTAAACTGACACACCCTGTGACCCAGCAGTTCCACTCAGGACTTTGCCCGAAACAACCTGAACACCTGCTCCAGGACCTGCAGGAGTGCTCACAGCTGTATTGTTTGTAATAGCCCCCAACTGGGAACAACCACGATGGCCATTCTAAGTAGATAAAAGTAGATGAAATAATTAGGCATTTAGTGCCTTGGAATACTGATTGGTGGCGACAATGAGCAATCAACAGATATTTACAACAGGTGACTCAATATTGAGCAAAGCAAAACAAAATTGTGTGATTCCATATATGTGAAGTTAAATTCTTGCCTAGAGATCCCCATATAGGTGGTCAAACTGAAAAGCAGGGAAATGCTCATTGCAGAAGTCAACAGTAAAGAAGAGTCGATACTGATTTGGGGAGGGAAAGGGCTTGTGGAGGGAGTGGTAGCTTCCATTTATTGACTGGTGGCTGGTAAAACAGGTGTCGACTTAATTTGTTGACATGAGTGTTCTGTGCCCTTTTCTATATATTAACTACATTTCAGCATACTCTAGGATAAAAGAAAAACCAGAAATATGAGTGTTCTGTGCAAGGCTAGATCTGAGAAGTACGAGCGGCCCACCCTCGAAGGGTTACCAGGTGACCACAGCAGGGTCCACCTGATGCTGCAGGCCATCTGGGAGCACGCTAGTTAGAATCCCAGACAAGGAGAGCTCTCCCTGGAGTTTCAGACTATACTGTCTGGATGTTTTCCTTGGTGGGTCCAGGGTCACCCAGTGTCTCTTAAGCCTCAACCCTATGATGTCACACAGGCCTGGTATGCTTAGCTGGGGTTTGCCAGGGATTCAGCGCTTGTTACTGGTGCTGGATGAGGTAATGGAGACTTCCTCCTCTACAAAGCTCTTTCCATGGCTCCTGCCCTCACTGGTTACCTGGTTTTGCCTTCCCTGGCTCCAACACTGGGACCCTGGTGGAACCCTGAGTCCTAATATCTGTGCTGTTTCCTCCTCATTTGCTTTTCCCTAACTCACCCACAGGCTTTGTCTCTGAAGGGGTTGGAACCTGCTTTATCACCCCTCCTTGGTGCTCAGGCAGTGCCTCTGGTAGGTTGGCAGGCCATAAACTTTTACTTGGGCTCAATACTATGTACCATACAAGTTCCTGGGTCAGTCCTGGGACTGCACAAAACAAAGGGCCTCTAGAATATTCCTTGCAACAGTATGGCTTCTCAGATCCAGCCTTGGCTCAGCCAACAGGACAAAGGGCCCACAGCCTGGAATGCTGGAGGAGAGAGTTGACCTGGGAGGTGAGGGACAGGAGGCAGCTTATCTAGGTGTCAACCCACAGTGCTCCAGATGATACACTTGGCCACCCACCAGCCTAGGGACATAGGTGGGCCTGGAAGTCAGTGTCCCTCACGCTGATGCTTGGCCCCTCAGCCAGTGTAGTCATGAGTGTTAGATCCATTCAACTTACAGCTGGGGGTGAACCCAACCCATGCACCATTGCAGGGCTCCTGTCGCCCATGGAGAGCAAAGTAGGGGCAGACTCTTTGCCCAAACCGAGGCCCAAGACACCTGCCCCAGCCTGCCCAAATGCTTTGGATGGCTCCTGGTAGGTCCCATCCTTCTAGATTGCCCCTTGTTTACGGGGACCAGGGCTCTACTGTTACTGTTACTCCTGTCCTTGATGAACAGTAGCCTTGAAGAACCAACCAAACCCAGTTCTGGCATGGTTCCTCTACTCCGCCTGATCTGGAGCAAGTCACTTCACTGCTCTGAGCTCCAGCCTTCTCCCCTGTCAGACTACACAGGGCTGGGAAGACTGAACCAGGTGATGAATGTAAAGCCTCTGGTACTTAGGGGAGCTCCTCCATAAAGGGGAGTTTGGATCACAGGTTTCCTTGCCATGCAGTCTTCTCTCCAGGACATGAGACAGGGCAAGGGGAGCAGTTCTTGGGGAGCAATTCCCTTCACCCATATGAAAGTCCAACTGGAGTCAACAAGAAGGCACTGGAGGGCCTGATCCCAGGATAAAGGAAATGTCTAGGCCTTCCCTATCATCAAGACCCATGTGGCCCAGGCAAGAGAGGGGTGTGTGTAACTAGAGTGGGATGTCTGGGCCTCAGCATAACTGGAGGCTGTGCCTGTGGTCAGTAGGGATGCCAAACTAGAGTTCATGCTTGACTCAAGCATCCTTCTGAGAGCTAGGGGGGGAGCCTAGGCTGTGGGCACCTTTCTGGATGAGGCTAGGCCTGGGAAAGCCCTCTCAGAATACTCTACCTGCAGGGCAGACCCCTTGTACAGCAGCCTAGGACTCACACACCAGAACATCACAGGCATGTGGATACCACTCCAGGCTCTGCCACTGTCCCTTGTCCTTTGGTTCCTCATTGCTCCTTGTAGAGGGAATAATCACTGGCCTCTGCAGAGCTGTCATGAGGATGAGAAAACAGGTCAAGTCCCTGGTACAGAGCCTGGCTCACACGAGAGCCCAGTAATTCATTTCCCTTTCCCCTTCCTCCCTTATTACACACATTTAACTATGTGACTTTAGGCAAGTGTCCTAACTTCTCTGATTTTCCTTATCTGCATGATGAGAATGATGCCTATGACTTGGAGGTGATTGTGAAAACTGACCAGTGGGTGAGAGGTCCTTGGAAACTGTTAGGTTGTAGGTGCCAAAGAGTCAGCATCAGCACAAAGCAGTGATGGCTACAGTAGGTACCAGGGAGCTGGGGGCCAGCTGACCTAGAGTAAATCGAGACGCTGGGCCTTGGCTAGATTTCCAGGGAGCTGTTGGAGATAAGCGTGGCCATGGCTGAGCTCCAAGTGAAGGAGGGTAGGCCTGGGGGAGCCCGAAGAATTTCTCTGTCCCCTGTGTATGGTTCTGGGCCACCTAGTCTTCCCCCTCCCAGATCTTCTCAGCTCAGAGACCTGCCAGGCCTTGGCCGCCTCATCAAGTCAAGTTGGGGCCAGCTCTCTCACAAACCAGAAACTGTCCCTTTAAGGCAGATACCTGAGCTGTAACAAATGGGACCATTTCTGGGAATCCCAGGAATGTGGCCAAGTGTGTTTTCCATAGCTGGGCTGTGGGAGAAGGAGTAGCAGGAAGGCAGCTGGGCTGGGCACTGACTTGCTCAAGTTGGCCTAAACAAAATTTTTTTAAAAAGGAAGAGGATGAGAGAGAAATCACTTCTTTTTTGTGGCCCCAGGATTCTGAGAAGCTCAGAATTGGAGTGTGGGGCACGGGGCATGAGCGGTAATGCCATCGAATAATCATCAGAATAATAGCTGCTGTCACTGGACAGATGTGCAGACCAGGCCTGAACGCTCCTTTTGCACAGTAAGCCAATTTCTGGGATGAGAGTTTGCTTAGATTGGAGGAAATCTTTATTACAGGAGATGTCACCTAGGGGAGCAGTAGAGCCCAAGACAATCTCCTTTTTTTAAAAGATTTTTACCATGGGGCATGTGTGCTCACCAGAGGGAGGCAGAGAGGGAGGGAAAATGAGAAATCATCTCCCAGGGGGGATAGCCACACCTCAATCCCTTCTTCTCCATTCTCTTCTTGGGATTTTTGGGTGCACACACACTAGGGCCCAGTGTGACTGACTAACTTTCTTTCTTCCAGAGAGATTTTTGCTAAAGGGCACCTGTGGTCACCGGAGAGACAGAGACAGAGAGACAGAAAGCGAGAACTCCCCCACCAGTGGGAATAGCCATGCCACAATCCCTTCTCCATTCTCCTCTCAGGATTTTCAACGTGCGTGCACATGTGTCAGCATGAGTTTTAAGCTGCTGGGTCTGAGACTCGAACCACAGTTGAGTATGTGGGCGTCAAGCAACATAACCATCATGCCATCTGCACGTCCCTCCCAGTGTGTTTTTCAAGCCACTGGGTCTGGGACTCAAACTGTGGAATAAGCCATATGGGATCCAGTACCTAGTAAGGTCTTAACCACCTCACTATCTGCTGGCCCAAGTCCAAGACCCTTAAAATACTGCCTCAAAGATGAGGTAGCAAGCAGGGGTTTTCTTTCTTTCTTTTTTTTAGAATTATTTACTTAAATTTACTTATCGTTATTATTATTTTTAAAATTTGACCAGAGAGGGACAGAAAGAGCAGAAAAGTGAGAAAGCAAGCCACTATGTCCAGGACTCAAACCGCAGTCGGCCATGTGTGAATCCAGTGCCTTAACCACCACTTCACCTGCTGGCCCCTATTTTCTTTTCTTTTGTTTTTCTTAGATTTTTTTAAAAATTTATTTGATGTTTTTGCTATAGGGCACATGCACTCGCCAGCCAGCCATAGAGAGACAGAAAGTGAGAAATCACCTCCCTCCCCCAGTATGATGGCCATGCCGCAATCTCTTCTCCATTCTCCTCTCGGGATCTTGGGCATGCATGCACATGCGTCCGGCGTAAGTTTAAGCCACTGGGTCCGGGACTCGAAACATGGTCGACTACATGGGAGTCCAGCCACGTAGCCATTACACTAACTGCTGGTCCCTTTCTTAGAGAGGTATTTGCTATAGGGTTCATGAGCCCACAAGAGAGACAGAAAGTGAGAAATCATCTTCCAGAGGGATAGCCATACTGCAATCCCTTCTCTATTCTCTTAGGATTTGGGGCATGAATGTACATGTGCCTGGTGTGAGGGTTTTATTTAAAGAAATTTTTTAGTTTTTAAGAATTATTTTTTAAAAGAATTATTTATTTATTCATTCTTTTTTTTTTTTCTTCTGTTTTTTGGAGAGTTTTTTTTTTTGGGGGGGGGGCGGCTATAGGGTACGTGTGCTCCCCAGAAAGACACAGAGAAAAAAAGAGACAGCCCCTCCCAAGAGGGATGGCCATGCCACAATCTCTTTACCTCCATTTTCCTTTTGGGATCTTGGACATGCATGTACACGCGCCAAACATGAGTTTAAGCCACTGGGTCTGGGACTTGAACCGTGGTCGACTACGTGGGAGTCCAGTGACGTAGCCATTACACCAACTGCTTGTCCCTATTCATTTATTTTTATTTGACCAGAGAAAGACAGACACACAGGAGGAAAGTGAGACGCCAAGTCACCAAGTCCAGGACTCGAACCATAGTTGGCTACATGGGAGTGTCCAGTGACTTAACCACCATTCCACTTGCTAGCGCTTTTTAAGAATTATTTAATGTTGTTTGTTTTAATTTGACCAGAGAAGGACAGAGAGAGAATGAGAAAGAAGGCTGTCAGGGATGGGACTCAAGCCATGGCTGACCATGTGGGAGTCAAGCACCCTTAACCACCACACCACCTGCCCCACCCCCCCATGTGAATTTTAAGCTACCAGGTTCTGGACTCAAACCACTGTTGACTATGGGAATCCATATGCCATTTGCTGGTTCCTATTTTCTTCCTAAAAAATAAAGTCAGAAAGAAAGGGAGTGGAAGAAAGCACCCCACTTCCCTCAGTGGGTATGGTCATGTCACAATCCCTTCTCCTCCATTCCTCCAACCTGTTGGGATTAGGGGCAAGTATGCACAGGTACCTGGCATGGTTTCCAAACTGCTGGGACCAGGATTCCAATTAGGGAGTTGGCTATCAGCCATGGGCAAACAGGGCTTTTATTTATTTATTTAATCTTTTAGGATTTTTGCCATAGGGCACATATTCTCACCAGAGAGAGACAGAGACAGGGAAACTGGGAAATCACCCATCAGGAGTAATGGCCACACCATGGGATTTTGGGCACGCATGTATACGTGCCCAGCATGTTTTTCAAGCTGTGGGGTTCTGGACATGAACCTCGGACTTGGCCATGTGGGATCCAGCACTTTAATCACCCACCACCTCCTTGCCCAAGGAGGGCTTTTAAGCACACATTAGGAAGGTGACAGTGTGCAGATCTGAGGTCGGAATCCAGGAGCTTTCCAGAACAGTTCCTCTGCTGTCCTCCTTGATGAATGATGCTATTTCCTTGGTGTGGTGCTGCCCAGTCTCCAGGGGTGTCAGAGTGAGGTGTTATCATCAGGTCTGTTCTGGGTAAAGAAATTCGGGGTCCAGGACTCGAACTACCATCAACTACCTAGGAGTCCAGCAACACAGCCATTATGCCAACTACTGGTCCCACTGTTGACATTTACATGACATACTACTGGAGCCTGGGGGAAAGACTAGAATGGAGTAATTGGGGAGGGGTAAGGAGCCCTGGCCTAGGCACCAGTAAAAGACATTTTGACTTTACCACAGACAAGTGGTTGGAGCTAACTAATTTGGCCCTACTGAGCCTCAGTCTTACCATCAGAAAAGTGAGGGGTTTGTGTTGGATTGCCTCTTCACTTTATTTCCCCAAAAATGAAGAAGTGATGTCGATCTACCTATACAAAGAAAAGTTCCTTGGCCCTGCTTTCTGTAGTTGTCCCAAAGGACAAAGTGCTCTCTGAGATCTCTCAGCAACGTGAAAAAACTACAAACTATGCTGAACTCTACAACATGGATGAAGAATTTTATAAAATCTAGACTTTTTCCATGTGGACTACTTCAGTGCTTTTTTTTTAAATTTTTTCTTTTAGATTTTTATCCTAGGGTGTGCTGCAATTCCTCCTCCTCCATTTTCCACTCAGGGTTCTGGGCATGCATGCATGCACACACAGCTGGTATGATTTTCTTTCTTTCTTTCTTTTTTTGGAGAGATTTTTGCTATAGGCGCATGCGCTAGCCAGACAGACAGAGAGACAAAAAGTGAGAAATCACCCACTGGAGGGATGGCCACGCCGCAATCCCTTCTCCTCCATTCTCCTCTCAGGATCTTGGGCATGCACGCACATGTGCCCAGCGTGAGTCTAAGCCACCAGGTCCGGGACTCGAACTGCAGTTGACTACGTTGGAGTCCAGTGACATAGCCATTATGCTAACTGCTGGTCCCACCTGATATGATTTTCAAGTTGTTTAGGACTCAAACCACAGTCGGCCATATGGGAGTCCAGCATCTTAACCATCATCTCTTCTGCTGGTCCCTTCAGTACTAGTTGTGTTTTTTTTTTTTGTTTGTTTGTTTTTTTAAGTTGTTTTTGCTAGACGGCCCATGCGCTCAACAGACAGACAGAAAGAGACAGAGAGACAGAAAGCGAGAAATCACCAACCAGTGGGGATGGCCATGCCACAATCCCTTCTCCTCCAGTCTCCTCTCGGGATCTTGGGCACGCACGCACATGAGCCCAGTGTGAGTTTAAGTCACCCGGTCTGGGACTCGAACCGCGGTCGACTACATGGGAGTCCGGCAACATAGGCATTATGCTAACTGCTGATCTCATTAGTTTTTTTTTTTAAAGAGATTTTTTACGATAGTGCCTGTGTGCTTGCCAGAGAAAGAGAAAGTGAGAATCACTCCCAGTGGGATAGCCACACCACAGGCTCTACTCCATTTCCTTCTCAGGATTTTGGGCACACATGCACACGCACCTGGCATGAGTTTAAGTCCTGGGTCTGGAACTCAAACCACAGTCAACTACATGGGAGTCCAGTGACATAGCCATCACACCATGTGCTGTCCCCCCTTAAATGCTATTGTAAAAATATGTCTTGGGAACCAGCAGTTAGCATAATGGGTATGTCGCTGGACTCCCACGTAGTCAACCGCGGTTCGCGTCTCAGACCCGGTGACTTAAATCTCACGCCGGGCGCGTGTGCGTGCGTGCCCAAGATCCCGAGAGGAGACTGGAGGAGAAGGGATTGTGGCATGACCATCCCCACTGGGGGAAATGCTATTGTAAAAATATGTCTTGGGAACCAGCAGTTAGCATAATGGGTATGTCGCTGGACTCCCACGTAGTCAACCGCGGTTCGCGTCTCAGACCCGGTGACTTAAATCTCACGCCGGGCGCGTGTGCGTGCGTGCCCAAGATCCCGAGAGGAGACTGGAGGAGAAGGGATTGTGGCATGACCATCCCCACTGGGGGGTGATTTCTCGCTTTCTGTCTCTGTCTGTCTGGCGAGCACACGCGCCCTATAGTGAAAACCTCTCCAAAAAAAAAAAATATGCCTTATTGGATTCTTTGAAGTCATGGAGCGCCTGTATTGCTGACACCTCCAGCACATCCAGAGTACTAATAGGTGACCCAGTCTTGAACCAGCAGTGACTGAACCACCTTTGGAGATAAAGGCTGTCATCACCTTTTTTTCAGATGAGGACACTGAGAGTCTGGGAGGTCAAGGGACTTGTCCCAAGTCACCTAGTCAGTAAGATGGCAGAGTTGTTATGACAGCCCCGCCCTGGCCAGTTCTCACCCTTTGAGCTCAGTCTGGTGTAAGAGCGCACATTAGATTTAGACTGCTGGGTTCTAGAGCCAGCGTCACCATTTCCTATGGCCCACTGGTGTCCTTGGGCAAACCAGTTCTCCCTTCTGTGTGGTTTGTTTCTCTAAAGAAGAACGCGGGCTCCCGCTCCATGCTGGTGTGAGAGTTAAATAGTGCTGGCTCGGTGCAATGCCTGCTACTTACCTACTCTGTTTATATAGCACCAGGCCTCTTCTAAGCACATGGCCTGTGTCGGTGCACCGAACCCTCGTGACACTCATTTCACCAGAGAGAAAAGTAAGGCAGTGAGAGGTTACAGAAGTTCTCCAGGGTCACCCAACTTAAAACCACTTCATACCGGATGGCTCTCTCAAGAACTGTCTGTGGTGACACTTGTTACTGGGGACTGTCACTGTCCTCTCCCGAACTGGGGGTGTATTGAAGGGCAAGGAATCATTATGGCATACAGGGGTCCTGAGCGGGGCTCATACGAAGTCTCCCAGAGCCTTGCAGGACCCCGGGTGCCCAAGGACGCCTTAGGCAGCTCAGGATCAACCAGCAGCAGGATGTCCCAATGCTCCCGCCCCCACCTCAGGTCATGGGGGCGTGCCCCCGGTCATCAAGCTGGGCGGGGCAGGACCAACAAGCCTATAAAAGCAGCTCTGGCCTAGACTCGGCCAGGCGGCTGTGGCCAGCTACAACATGAACAGCAACAGCCTCTACTACTTCCGGGACACGCACATCATCAAGGCGGAGAGTCAGGTACAATGGGGCCAGGGGAATTGCAGGGGCGGGCTGGGCTGGGGGGAAGCCAGAGGGGCGCTGCTGGGGACAGGAAGAATAAGAGAGCTATCAAGATATTTGCATGCGATGTATTTTGTATAAATCAGATTAGTGGCAGAGCACTACCAGTTAGTGCACTACTCAAGGGAAACTGGAATCCCCATGGCTCCGGTGCTTCTCATCCACAGCCCCACCTGCCTGAGACACATCGGGCATCTCTCCAAGTGCCCAAGATCCCAGTGGCTAGAGGGGACCTAGGTGTGACCAATCCCAGTGGAGGGTGCTCCTCTCGCACACACACAGACGTTGTGTGTGTGTGCTCTAGCATGAATAAAGAAAAAAGAACTGCTAGAGGACACATGTTCTCACCAGAGAAAGGGAAAAGGCACTGCCTGCCCCATGGAGCATGCTCATGGTCACAGGAGACTACAATCCCCTGTGCATTTCTCATCCTGTCGGGATTTTGGACACACTTGCACACGCACCTGGACTGTTTTGCAAGTCAGTGGGGCCAGAATGCAAACCGCATTGGGTATGTGGGATCTGGCTCCCTTAGCTACTAGGCTATGGTGCAGCCCAAGAATACCAAACATCCACACCGAACAAAATATGTACATTTAAGAGGAGGACAGGATTCAGTCCTGTATTGCGCACCTTGACTGCCTTCTCGTCTCTGCCCTAAAGGAGTGGAAGGGAAGGAGAGGGAGGCAGGTGGGGTAGTGGGAAGACATGCCAAGTAGACTACTCAGGCTTCAGAAGGTGAACACAGGTAGGTCTCAACCTCCCCTTCTGTACAGTCTACACCTCTTTTTCCGGAAGGTCCGACCAAAATCCTTCTCAGAGTCTGAGTCTGGGGCAATGGGAGAATCGGAAAGGAGGTGAGAGGTCAGGATCAAGGATTGCCTCCCTGCACCCCTAACCTGGCCCTACCCTCTGTCCCCAGCTGGTTGCTGGCATCAAGTACTACCTAACAATGGAGATGGGGAGCACAGCCTGCCTCAAGAACAGAGTTCCTGGAAACGTTGACCTCACTACCTGCCCCCTGGCCGCAGGCATGGACGAGGAGGTAATAGCCCTACAGCCCCAGCCCTCTCTAGACCCTAAGGCCTGCAGGTTGTAGAGCCTGAACCAGTCCAGCTGGCCATGCAGATGTCTGCTGAA